CAGGGCCTGAGACTTGGTTGGCGGAAGAAGTGGCGGAGGAGCTCGGTAGGGATTTGCGCAAGGGAGTTGTTGTTGTTGTACTGTCGTCGACGACCTGCTTGCTGCGCTTCGGTTGCTGCTCGAGCGCCGGCGAATGGGGGCCATGAGGCCGTTTGGTGCTGCCGGCTGGAGGAGGAGCAAGCTTCGGGGAGGTGATTTCCCGATCCGAATCACTGACGCCTTCGTTCTGGCTCTCCTGCTCGAATCTCCGGCTGCTGCCTTTGTCACCGTTCGCGTGCCCGGTCAGCCGCAGCATCGAGCGATCGTGCGCGAAGACGTCGCCAGAGCAGAGATCCCCGAACAGCGTTTCCATGCTGACTGAAGGGGTCCAGAGACGCTCGTTCACAGTGTTGGGATAGATGTCTTTGGGGCGGAAGGCGGCCACGAGCCAGCGTAGCTCTTCGTAGGATGAGTGCCGCGAGTATGGGAACGTGACCTGCGCTCTCTGGCCCGTGGAGATGGGAGCGTCACGGGAGGTGGCAGAGTGAGTGGGACTGACGAGTTTGGCGAGTGCGGGAGAAGACGGTCGAGAGGTAGGTTTTCGAGGGCGTCATTCTCGTCGTCTTCTTCTAAAAGAGTCGAAACGTCGAGCCTGATGTTCCCCGTCTGCGCGCTGGAAGCGATCAGAGACATGAGGTCCGGCATGATCTCTGGCTGTTTTTGTAGCCTGGCGCTGCACAAGGCCATCAGCTGTCCCACGATGTGCATGTCGTTCAACTCGAGCTCATGCACCTGGTCCAGGTCGCCTTGACCACCACCGGCGCCCGCCTCGCCGTACTCATAACCCTCGTGCCGCGTGATTATCGGTGTAATCCTGACGACGTTCCTGTCGTTGAAGACGTGACACCGCGTTCCCCTTTCGCAGCTGTGAAGTCTCGGTTCGATCTCGTCGCGCGTCAGGCAGCCTTCCCGAACGTGATTGCCCATCTGAAACCCCACCAAACCGGCCGTTTCTGGGCCGAAACACTGAACCTGTTCGCCGAGGGATTTGTACAACCGGTATCTGTAGCTATCCAAGTGTACTTTGGTATCAAGGTGTGCGGATAGGGCACGCCAGACATCCTCGTACCCGAACGTCCAAGCGTCGATGTAGAAGATGGTGTTGGCGGGATATTGGTCCGTTTTCCGTAGGAGCTCGTCCAGACCATCCGCTTTTGGAGGGAAGTGTCGGTGTGACTGTTCTTGAGTGGCGAAGGTGGTATCCAGATACATCGTGTCGAGCCGCTTCTTGCCCTTTGTGTAAGGAATAAGGACCGGGTTGCGCACTAACGCATCAACCCACCATTTCTCTGAGCGAATGTCGCCTGTGTAGAGGATAGCTTTGCCATCGCCTTCGATGAGGAACATCACCGCACCGACGCAGTGGTTCGCATCGAGTAACGTGACGCGTATGATTTTACCGGGGCATAGCTCAATTTCGGTGGGTGTCTCCAGCGGAATGACCTTCAGCAGGTTCTTCAAGTGGCGGTAGGTCTGTTTCCGCGTCTCTAGAATCCCTTTCGCGAAGTTCATACGGTGCGGATACTTTTCAAGCCGCAGCAGTATCTCCCGCGTGGCTGCCGAGCAGTAGACGAAAGGCGATTTGAGAGACTCGAGACCACGTAGATGGTCCGAGTGCACATGGCTGAGGAAACATGCTAACGGAGGGGACGCGTCTGGCCTTGACTGGAAGTTATCGATGCGAATGTATGGAAACTCGGCCACCACGCCGTTGAACGTGGACATGGTGGGAGAGTTTCAATTTCATGTTCTGTCACATAATCAAATGTGTTGATAAACACGAGAGTGTTGTGGCTGGGAGAACGAAGGGAGGAGTGAACAACAGGAGACGAGCAAATGCCAAGACTGGGGAACCTTCCCCTTCTGGCGAATGCTAACGACACTTTGGTTTGGACTCTCACAGGTGTGTGAATAGGATTCAGCTGCCACTCTAAGTTGAGGCTTGTACTCGCTATCGAATGAAGACAACACTATACGTGACCAAGTTCATCGGCATTCCTCCCACTGTGGCCACAGATACCCAGTATTTCGAAATGAACGACTAAAGTTGGACGGCCATAAACCACAAGCGAGTGGACAAGCGCAGGGAACGAAGAGCAGAAACTGTCCGATCCTACCAGGATACTTTCCGACCTAGCCGGAACCCTCGCTGATGGGCCACATCTGCATCCAGCAGTGAGCGTCCACGCCCTATAAAACGATATGGTCAGTATCCCATACACCATATAGTTCGGATGGCAGAGGCGTACTTCATAATCATCACACTACTGATCTGTGGCGTGATGGTTGGTGATGCCAACCTGGAAATCGTTGACGCACGCCGCGTAGCAATCCCTTGAGGCATTTCCCATGAGATATTCGTCCCGTAGCCACATATGGATTCTTGTACTTACCCTGGGCTCTTATAGGCAAAGCCTTGCACTAAAAACAACATCAATATGAGGTAAGAAAAGGCGCACTTGGATCACGTACTTTGCCAATACCAGTTCTGGAAGCCCGCTGTTAGCCCCCGGATTCCGCATCCTACAAGACTGGATGGACGTGATGGATGTTCTTGAAACACCACGAGCGAACAGAGCTTCTTATACATGCTCAAAGGTTGAACGTGAGGCATCCTTCGTCGTCCGGCTCTTCGACGTGAACGTAAGCGCTGTGTCAACAGAGCGAATGAACGAACACGCTCCATTGTGAAATGCAGCTGAATGTTGGTGTAGCAGGCCGATCAGACCTGAAGAGCTGAACTGCGTGGATGTCGTGGTCGCCTGCGCCTCTATACACGTCACACTGATTTGCGCCGGGTTGCCTGTGCAACACGTCCGGAGTCGTTGACAGCCAAAGCTTCGAACGAACAAGGCCAAGGCCGGCCGAGCTGAGTTGAAAGCCCCAGGAGCGCGTTAGAGGGTGACCTATAGTAACTTTCCAGAGTAGCACCAGTGGGAGGCCGTACAATGCGAACCCGAGAAAGATTGTAGGAGTGAGCGTTGCTTGCTTACAGCCGTCACAGTCATCGCCTAAATTCATCATGTGAAGCTAAGCAAGGCCGCCTCTAATGTTTTAAATCGCTCGCAGTACCGGTGATGAGCCGCGACTGTCAGGCAGACACTATGAAGGTGCCTTTGCTACATGACCGGTTGGAGTCCGCAGGCGTGGCTGAAGACCTTCGTGTAACGCAAGTACGTCACAGTGTATGGAAGGCTACAAGCACGCACTCTAGCCTTGGGAGCTGCGGTTGCCTATGGCTATAAAAACGCAACGGCGACAAGAAGCAGGGAATTTCCCATTCTTCCCTATTGGTCTTCGTGATTGAACTCAAGGTGTTCCCCGAAGATGACGAGGTGAAGTTGAGCGAGGTTGGATGAACGCAGGTCTGATTCGGCTAGCTAGCCACTCAGATGCCTCAAGACTAATGCAAGCTCTTTCGCTTAGTGTCGTTCAATGACGCGCATCGAGTGTATGGGGTTCGCGCTTGCCTGCAGCCCCAACTCGCAACGCCTATCCCAGCATGGCATTCTAACCACCCACGCCGCTATGTCTCTGCCAGAGAAATGGACGAACCCTCAGCCCAACTCGCATCGGACCTTCGTTCCGCTACCGTCCAGGCCCTGAGCACTCGGCGACCGCTCATACACCACCTTTCCGCCGACACGGCTTGGCTTCTCCAGATCCCCCGTCCGTCGACTGCAACAAAACGCGGCGGGCGCTTCTACTTCAATCTCTTAATTGACCCCTGGTTGTCCGGCGACCAAGTCGATATCTTCAAATGGGTCAGCAGACAATGGCATGCCGAAGAGCCCAAGTTCGGCAGCATAGCAGCCGTTGAGGAGTTGTTGCGCGAGATAGAGATCCTGACTGTGGGTCTGCGATCGGGGAAAGGCAGAAGGAGTACTTTGGATGAGTTAGAAGAGCATGGAGAGATCGAGACCTTTATAGATGCAGTGGCTATATGCCATGAATTCACCGATCATTGCCACCAGCAGACACTATTGCAGGTGAATCCTGACGTACCTGTTTTTGCTACGGAGGTTAGCCTTCACTACGCTAATATGTTCCTCCCGCGACACACTCACATTTATATGAACAGAAAGCTGCATCTCTGATTCGGTCATGGTCACACTTCCGCGTTGTCGAGACCGTCCCTCGCTTCACGGCCGACAACCTCGACTGGCATTCCACTAGCATCTCACCATTACCCGAATGGATCGGGATCTCGCGCTTCATGTCGCATCTAGATCCATCCACTCTGCATTCTGGTCTCCTCATCACCTTCAACAACAACCCCCATAACCCCACCAACCCCTCTGATGGCGAGGAAGCCGCCGAAGCAATCATCTACACCCCACACGGCATCTACGACCACGAACTTTCTCTTATCCCGACCGCCTCTCCTCCGATCCGTACACTCGCTCTCTTGCATGGACTTCAAGAGGTCTACATCGGACGCTTTGGGTCACAGATCAACTTGGGTGCGTACAACGGGCTTAAAGCCCAGCGGATCCTGAACGCAAAATACTGGATCGGCACGCACGACGAAGTTAAACACGGCGCTGGTATCGTGGGATGGCTTCTAAGGCGGAACTACCTCACGGTCAAAGACGCTCTCGAAGCCGAGCGCGAACGGAAGAAGAAGCAAGGGAAGAACGAGGTTGATGGGAATGACGAGGTGTTGGACTCGTTTCGAGATGCCCATTGGGTTGATTTGAAGAATGGCGAGAGTCGTGTGCTCATATAGGGTGTCTTTGCTACAAACGATTCCAATTGGTATATCGCAGATTGTTTATGCCTGACGAATTAGTTGATAAGTATTGGGAACAACATTTCATTTCCACCACAAACAATAACACCCTTGAGTCAGCAACCTACACGGCCGGTCACGTACAGCCTCGTTCGTTCGTTCGCTCCTCCGTCCGTCCTCGGTTCAACTGCAGTGTTCGAGCAAGATCAGCCGCGAAAAGCAAAAGAATTGGACTAGCCGCGAGTCGAACGCGGAACCTTCTCCATCTCAGGATCCACACACATCTCGAAAGAGGCTGAATGCTAAGAAGATGTCATACCGCTAGACCACAAGCCCTTGATGTTACTAGGATTGTAAATCTTGTATATACCACGTGCATTGCCAGACGGTAAGAAGCGACGCCGCGACGCGCCTTCCGTTCCTGGCGCATCATCCCCTCACACATGACTGTCACGGTCTTCATATTCCCTCTAAGAACGAGCAATAGTATGGAGAATACCAGCTCTTCTGGCCCTCATCAAATTCCCAGGTAAAACTCCTCAAGCGTGGAGTCAACTGTGTTGATGGCCCGATCCCGTCAGTGCTCTCATCAGAGGTCCCGTAACAACCGCGCCGCATTCAAAGGGGGACGTCTTCCGATGGGTACGCGTGATGTCGCACGACGAGCCTGGTGATGTGCCAAGAAGTTACGTACATACATGTGCAAGCCTATTGCAACAGACGCATGATATAATCTGTTGGGCAGTCTAGTCATTGACAAGGTCGGGAATCTGCAACTATTCTTTCTTCTCCCTTTACTCCACTGCTGTATTTGTAAAGAATTTGATCACAGCAAATAGGGAACGAAAACATTGAAGGTTGTGTAGCACGCGGCTTTCTAGGCGATACGGTGATTCCGAAGGCGAAGGTGATTCTCCCGGACTGCGAAAAATTTCCGTCGAGTGAACTCTGTATGCTATTGAACGGCAGGAATCGAGGGACTCTAGACGTGCTTGTCAGCTTCGCTTTCGAGGCACAGACTTGTTCGGTCAGGACGTTGCTATACATACTCAGACGTGGATTACTTTTCATTTCTACAAATCAAAACAGAGTGCCGTCAACAGCCGTCGTGAAGCAGAATCCTCATTTCCGTCTGCATTTCCCATTCCCATCACGAACCCGTCCACACGCTGCCACCTCACTTCTTCGCATGCCACAGCTCCATCGCACCCTTCCACCCCTTCTCCTGCATCACCTTCTCCTTCTCCATGACCTCCTCCTTCATCTCCGCCTGATGACTTCTAACCTTCTCCCTCACCTCTTCCTCACTGACCCCCAGAATTCGAGCCGCCAACAACGCCGCGTTCGTGCTGTTGTTCACACCTACCGTTGCGACAGGGATTCCCCTTGGCATGTTGCAGATACTGAGCAATGAGTCCGTTCCATCGCCAATGCTGGGCTTGACGGGCACTCCGATGACAGGCAGGTGTGTGTGCGAGGCTGCCATACCGGGTAAGTGCGCCGCGCCACCGGCTGCGGCGATGATGACACGGATGCCCTTGTCTGCGGCGCTGGCGACGTACTCGCCCATCCAGTCGGGCGTGCGGTGTGCGGAGGTGATGTGCGTTTCGTAGGCGATGCCGAAGTCGGTGAGGATCTGTACGCCCTTGTCCAGCACCGGCATATCGGAGAATGAACCCATCAAGACTGCGACAAGAGGCTGGCCGAAAGGCTGTGCAGAGGCGGGCGGAGCAGTAGAAGGCGGCGCGGTGCCGGTGCGTTCCGCGCGCACGGCGTCTACGACGGAGATCATGGGCGTCATGAGCTCCTCAGCTTTCTTCATCGTTGATGCAGTCACCGTGATATGGCCCATCTTGCGTCCTGGGCGCGCATCGCCCTTGTTGTACATATGGATGCGAAGCGCGGACGACTGCGCAGCAGCCTTCCTCGCCACCTGAATCGCTGAGTCGGGCTTCGCACCACCGAGGATGTTGAGCATGATGGCCGGACGGATGAGCTCGACGCCCTCCTCATCGATACGTAAGTCCAGGATCGCACGGAGGTGTGCCTCGTACTGTGACATGGGACACGCCTCGATGGTGTAGTGACCCGAGTTGTGCGGGCGCGGTGCGATCTCGTTTATGAGCAGGCTATCATCCTCGAGGAGGAACATCTCAACGCCGAAGACGCCCTTGCCCCAGAAGCAGGCAACGGCACGCTTCGCTAGTTCCTGGGCCTTCTTTGTCACGGTCGAGGAGACGTTGCGAGCAGGCGCGTAGACCAGCTTGCATATGCTGTCCTCGTGAATTGTCTCCACGGTTGGGTACGCTAGAACTTGGTCCTTGCCCTTTACGACCATGACAGCCAACTCGGCCTTGAACGGTGCCCATTTCTCAGCGTAGAGCGGGCGGTCCTTGAGTGCTTCGAGCGCCTTAGAAAAGTCTGCGGAGGATTGCACAGGGAAGTTTCCTCGTCCGTCGTACGCGTCTTTCCGCGCCTTGAGCATGAAAGGGAAGCCAAGCTTCTTCCCTATGCGGTCCAGTTCCTCGGTCGTGCTGCTCTCCAGCGACACAGACTCAGCGATAGCAACATCGTGCTTTTTAGATGCTCCTTCTGCGCGTATTTGTCCTGGATACATCGGAGGGTCTTCCAGCTAGGCTCAACCGCCACGTCTGAGGAAATCTCCTCAAGGATGTGCGTGTCAACATGTTCAATTTCGACGGTGACGACGTCGCATTTCTTAGCCAGCTCCTTGATTTTGGCGGCATCCTTGAATGAGCCGTCAAGGTGGTCGTCGTGAGCACTTATTTGCTTGGCGGGTGCGTTCGGTGCATCAAGAACGTTCACCTTGATATTGAGCCTATTGGCCGGCTCGATGAACATACGGCCCAACTGGCCGCCTCCAAGAAGACCGACTGTTTTGTCGTACATTGTGGATATGGAAAATATTATAGTGGTATATCAGGTCGTTATACCAGTTATGCAGCTTCTGTGAGAAGTTTGTATCCCGGGAAAGAAAATTTTGATGGTTTCGGACGACACGTTTGGTTCGCTTTCTTCACCGATGTCTAGTATTCCGGAGTTGCGATGGTGGTGAGAGACATGCATGTCATACAAGAGCGTGAATTACAAACGAAAGGCATGCAAAGGGTGTATCTGGATGTACCAAACTTTTTCCTCGATGGCATCACGTGTAGACCATAGTTCAGCATTGAAACGCATGATGGTGAACCCCCAAACACGTAAGGAGTCGAGGAGGAGGAGTCACGCAAGAAGTACGAAGTTCCGAATTCTGAACGCATGAATGTTGATATTTGCAGATGCAGCCTTTTCGTTATCGCCATGTCTGCCATAACACACCAAGAGCCTAGCCGAATCGATTTCTTTTGAGGGACGCTGTAATGTGATACCGCTAGCAAAGACAAGCCCCTCATTCGCCTCATGAATTGTATCGCCCAGAGACAACCATTTTGAACCGAGAGAAACCCGTTTACACCTTGAAACCCTTCGACCTTCTGCGACCACGAGCACGCTCGAACTTCCGTCCCTTGCTCTCGACGTATGGCTTCTGCAGTGTGCGTTAGTCCACATTCTCTTCTTCCTAATTCCTTGATCTTCTCGAATGTGTAACGTGCCTTGTGAGAGTGAGGACCGAAGCCGAAGTGCTTGACAGCCTCACGGGCGTTCTTGGGGCCACGGAGAAGGAGAGTGTTGGCACCAGTTGGAGCGCGCATGGCGAGCTGGTCAATGGTGAGGCACTCACCACCAGCGGCCAGGATGCGGGCGCGGGCAGTCGCGGTGAAGCGGAGGGCGGCGATGGAGAGCTTTGGAACGGAAAGGAGGCGGTTGTCGTCAGTGACGGTGCCGACCAGGACAATGGTCTTGCCCTCGTGCTCCTTGGCGGAGTGCTTGTTGGCAGCGGTCGCAACAATCTTGGAGATGCTCATTGGTGGGCGGTTGATGTTGCTCATCATCAGTCTCCTCAGGATGACCGCGTTGAACTTGGAGTCGGTACGGCGGGAGAGGAAACGGTAGAGCTTGACCAGGAGAGCCAGGTAGACATTTTCCGACTTGGGGGCCTTCCTGTGGCCGGACTTGACGTGGTGGTGGTCTGAACGAATGTGCTGTCAGTATTTTCTCGTGAATTTCGGTCGAACGTATTGCGCGGATGATGGCAGTCGAGGTAGGGTAGTTCTATGTGTGGTTTCCAGCAAAGCGCAGCAGAGCAATGCACATACCGAGATCGATACCCATTGTTGCGGCGGTGTCCCTGGTGTTGTTAGTAGAGGTTGTCGACGCACTCGCTGTCTTCAGAACCGTCAAGCAGGCAGACGAAGAAATCGAAGTTCGGTGGGTCGTGGGCTTGGCGTCGTCCGGCGAATCCACGGAACAACTTTTCGACGTTTCGGAAAGAAGCGAGACGCTAGCGAGCCAGGCCGTCGCACATCCACCTTTGACGACATCCATCTCTACTTCAACAAGACGACGAGGTATGACTATAACAAATCGAGAATCTTTCCACAGATGTATACTTTTCGACGCTGCTTAACCGACACGTGCTTGAGATATCCGGACGCTCGAAGATGCTAATCTCGCCAGAGATACCGCCACCTGACGAGCAACTGCCCTGCCGTTCTCTCAACATGTAGTCCGGCCTGGCAGTACATCTGGAGGATGGTCACCTTCGGTCGCGGATTAAATGAGGGTGTTGCTATCTGCTTGGAAACTCTTGGCCGGTTTGCACAAAACCAGTCGGACAGCGTGCAACACTGGAATGGGACAGAGTAAGTATCATACAAGAACGCTTGGCGACCCTATAAGTGCTGCGGATGCTGCAGACGCTGTCCCAGCATCCAGTGCTGTCACCGAGGAACACCGAACGAACGAATGTTGGTAAGGTTGACAAGGAATGCCTGACCAAGCTATGGAGCCATGGGGAGCAGCTGAAGGGATCACTCGACGGTGTCTACGATGAGACCACCCAGCGCGCTGAAAGACCCCGAGTCCGGATCGACATGGACAAGACTGATGACGTCAATCTGTTTGTAGTTATTGTTACGACGATGCCGAAGTAAGGTGTGGAAGGGTAGTTGCCGGAAGGTAGTAAACTAGTGTAGGCAACTTTTGATGTCTGATTGAATGCAGGGACTGCAACATAAGATCGATGCTTGAGGTAACTCGAAGTCATACTTTTCACTTCACGTCTCGCTAGTCACACACGTGCTCCAAGCTCTCATTCATCGCACCCCATGACCAGACCATTTCCTTGTCGTAACAACGCCAGCCTTGCCTACTTCTTCATCTTACATCTCTTTCTTCCCCTCACTAGGAACGGCCGAGTTCCAGTCGCAGAGATC